GTGTGTGTTTGTGTGTGCATGTATATATATATATATATGTATGCTGATTCATGTGCAAGCTAACGGGGACGCGCACACGCACACGATACACAAAAAGGGGAATAAATTTGTCGGTTTCAAAGGTTATGTAGGGATATGTAAGCATCTCTCATCAACACATCTATCATTACCATCACTCAGACCAAGCCTAATGATTTTATTACCACTTAGGCGGAATCAAGCCTGACTGCAAATACAGAAAACGAGCAATGAAACATCAAAAGAACATGAAGAAAATTTATTCGTTAAATAATTGATTCCTTTTTATTTGCCCGAAGAAGGTCACGAGACAGGAAACCCGTGTAGCAAAAATAGGAAGACTAAAATATAATTATAACCAAAAAACGCTTGCAGGTTTTTCTCTTTTTGAACTTACATACATACATATATATATATATATATATATATATATATATATATAGTTGACTCTCCCGTCGAGTTCGACGTATGAGGGTCAAGCAGATCAGTTCCCAGGAAACCAACAGCACATAAGATTTGATTATAGTGGTGACGGTTTCGTGCAGGATCAGCCACACTTTTTGATGGACCGAATTCAGAGACTTGGTGCACTAAGTGCCACAAGGTCCCCAAACGACCCTCCGCAGGTTTTGAATTCAGAGTTGTCCTTCTGCTAGACCAGTTGCCATCCAAGGCTATAGAATCCAGTCTGTCCTGCTAGAACCCAGTCTGTCCTATATATATATATATATATATATATATATATATATATATATATATATATATATATATATATATATATATAGACTTAGTTTTCACGCTTTTTATGATCATCAGACAGACTGGTTTATTTATTTTTTTATTTTTTCGTGGTGGGAGGGGGTAAAGATCCAATTTTAAAAAGTAAAGTGGCAAAGATCCAATTTTAAAAAGTAAACCAGTCTGTCTGATGATCGCAAAAGCGTGAAAACTAGAGTCACAAACATAAAACTGAATATGTTAGCTCTATCACTGATATTGAGAGCTTTCCACTAGTAGTGGCTAGTGGCTCAGAGTGAGGAATCGGAGAATCCTGAGTTCGAATTCCAGTCGAATCACTTACGTTAAAATAGTCTATATTATATATATATATACGGACGTATCGTCAATTCAGCCGTGTTTCTTTCCTCAGCTAGACCACACTGATGAGCTGTGACACAGCGAAATAGTGTCTGTGGATGACAATATATATGCTCCTGAAAAATTTATTCCGGTTGAGCTCTCTGGGAAGGAAGCGTGGTTTTATAAACAGTTTCTATTATGGCTAATATTGAAAAACTCTTCGGTGATACGAATCGAGTTCTCACAGTCACTGTGTGTTTATCTAAAAATAAATACACAAATTCAACTTCATCCCTTCCGTGCACCAACGGCTTAGGGGTAGAATCTCCGATTGTCGCCAATTCAGCCGGGTTTCGATCCTCAGCAACAAGCAACCGGACTTCTAACCACACTGATGTCTGTGGATGACAATATATATATATATATATATATATATATATATATATGTTTGACCAAGACAAGGTCTAACCATAATTATCAATAAAAAACAAATGAAAACTACAGATAAAGTTCATCTTTAGAATGTCATTCATTCCTGTCGTTCACTGCTATTAACAAAGCAGGACTTTTTTCTTCTGATAAATGGCCATGCTGGCCGAAAATAGACGGGGAACCTAAGTGAAATAATAAAACGAAAAATTATTAATATACAACCGAGTGTGTTTGAAAATTTTAATTTGTGTATGTGTGTCTGTATGTGTGTTTCTGTGTAAAACTTTCAGAAAAAAGTCTGTAAAGAAGACAAATTGAATAAAATAGACAATCGAAGAAGAGTACTTAATCCTTGCCGATTTTTTTTTTTTTTTTTTTTTGTTCTCTTTTTTTATTTGTTTTCTCTGTTGACAATGTTTTATTTACCTTCTCTCCAGATTTATTTTGAGAAATTTAACATATTATCGACATGGAAAATAAAAACACATTCTTATTCAAAAAGAAACAAATGAAAAGAAAAAAGAAGTAAAAGTTACTAATATCCCAAAAGTGGCTTACACAGGAGCGTCTTTGAACATTTTTGGAATTTCATGTAAATACCCATTTCGCTTTTGTTTAGCATCAATTACACTGATAAAGTCAGATGACGAAATGCACAAAGAAGAATAAGTATTATTTTCCGATTGTTTATTTTATGCAATGTATATATATATATATATATATATATATATATATATATATATATATATATATATATATTTATTTACAAAAAAAAAACTTGGTAATCCGTATGGGTAGTCCCAAGGAGGATGAAATCCTGAGAACTCAATGTAAATTCAGAGCTAACACACACACACACACATATATATATATATATATATATATATATATATATATATATATATATATATATATATATATATATATATATATATATATATATATATATATATATATAAATTATATAATGCATAATAGTGAAAGAAAGGAAAATGGCTAGGCAAGAAAGAATCAAAAAAATTTTATAAAATGAATAAACATAAGAGGAAAACGCTTTAATCTGAAAGGATGCAAATATTCCTATAACGCAGAAACTAAAGCCGATAGCGAAGACAGAAGTGCATCGGCTGCAGCACAAATATGACCCAGAATGACACAAAAACACTACCGTGACTTTTCATGTAATGCGCGATCTGCAGACGTAATTATTCAATAAATTATTCAATTATTCATAAATTTTAACTCTGAAAATATTTTCACATAATTTATTACTATTTTGGGGATTATTGGTAAACGATTATTGTCTCATAACTTTTCAGAAAAATTCGCGGTTTCTACAGAGCGTTGGATGCAAAATTGCATATAGAATTGAAAATCTGAAAAATATAGATATTTCACACAGTATTCTTTATTATTTATTTCATAAGTTTTATTATTTTGTATTTATTATGTGCAATCTTTTTCAGGTAACAATCTCTGGCCCATTTAGACTAACACACCAATGATTCTATATGGCCTTTTGCCCTTTGATTAATCATTAGTCGCTTTAGTTATTCTTTTGCATAAATTACTTTATATAGGCTTTTTGTACTTTCATCATACCGGATGTACAGAGTAGGAGCTTGTTAGCGACGACGAAAAATATGAGCGATGTCTGAGATTGTAGAGTAAATGCAAAAATAAATGAACTCACTTCCTCCCACCTGCAGTTGGAGAGTCAGTAAATGAAATATAATGTTCACAATTTACATTATTCGAACTATTGTCCTCATCTTTGTCGAAATATTTATTACAACGTTCCGGCCGTTGTACGCTCCGGCCGTTGTACGCTCCGGCCGTTGTACGCTCCGGCCTTCTTCAGGTGGTTGGAATGTCGAACTGAACCCTTTATTCCGCTCACTCGGGTAGACTGTTCTAGTTACACGTGCCATGTTTAATGGATGTCAGTTATCTCCTGTTAATTCCCCTCTCCAAGTTCGCCACCACCTTAACCGGGTAGTGAACTCACACTCTTTGGGTCCTGTCACTGGATCTAACCAACGCTTTTATTCGGAGCGTACAACGACCGAAACGTTGTAATAAATATGGCGACAAAGATGAGGATAATAGTCCGAATAATGTAAATAGTTTACATAATACCTCATCTCAGAAATATAGACAGATACTGAATCTAATGTTCGTTTTCTCTGTTGAGTCGTAAAGCAAAATAAGCAATTTATGGAACGTATTTGTTTCAATCTTCACTAACCTGATCGTTTGAACAATGGTAATTATGGATACAAAGGCTACACATGTTATATTTTATCTTTTCTTAGAGAAATGAGTCGAGGCGACTACCGTAAAAAAAACAAGAAAGAAACCCCCCAAAAAAAAACTCCCCAAGCCCCACCCCCCAAAAAAACAGCAAAAGCTGATTCTTCCCTTCTTTCATGAGAGATACTTCACTCAGATTTTGTTTTTTAGAGAAATGTTCGTAAATTCTAAGTAATATACTTTCATCCTCTAGTGTTTAATTCTCTCTCTATCTCCCATCCTCTCTCTCTCTCTCTCTCTCTCTCTCTCTCTCTCTCACACACACACACACACACACAGACATACACAAGTATGTAGCATATTATTTGTTGGAAAATGCGTTTTATAGATTTTTTTTTCTCGGATATTGACCCCTCGAGCACAAACGATATTATGTTTGGATACTATTAAATATTATTCAATGAATGGCTGCTAAATAGAATTGAAAAATGTCACTAAAAATGTTATTGTTTGGAAATAAGTTTAAATATTTTTTGAAAATATTCAAGGAAACAGCCAGGAAAATGGGTCACTAAAAAATAAAACTGAAAATAAAGAGAAATATACAGAGGTCTAAACTTTAGTTAGACGATCTATATAAAAAGATAAAAGATGATAAAATTTACGATAAAAATCTATGTAAATGCATCAACTGGTAGCAGGATGAAAATTATAACATTCAGAAATATTTGTTATAAGAATTCCTGCCTCTGCATGAAAGATTCTTTCAAAACTGTACAAAGCGAAAGTAATTAAATAAATAAAGTGAAAAAATTTAAACGATAAATGTGTCAGAATCAGCAAGCATAGTGAAAAGAAACACAGAAGATATTTAATATCACGTCCTTACAAGGCAAAGTCCATCTCCACACGCATTCTGATTTTTTTTATTATCTGCGAACTACGTCGTGCATCTTACATTTTCCATAAAAACCGGATGTTAACCGCTCGAAGACCCAAGGCATGCTACGTAAATACGTTTTCAACGTATCCGCTTTACGCATATATCTACTTTAATCAAAAACAAAAAATATATTATCCTTTTTGTTTTTGATTTTGATGAACAGTCAGAGCCGCTCTCGCTCCCACCACAAAAAACCTTAACTTCGAGCCGACTAAAAACTATATATACCCAAATTCAGATCTTCTAGACAGAGATCAGAGTTTCATGTCAATACTGACACGTTGAGAGAGAAAGAGAGAGAGAGAGAGAGAAAGAGAGAGAGAGAGAGAAAGAGAGAGAGAGATGCCATCGACGACCACAACGGTCACCAAGTATCCGTTTCGTTTCTAACTTCGCCACTTACTTTCCCTGTTGCCTTAGCAATACCGTTCTTTCAGGTTCTAGACGCCCAAGGTTTTCCACATAATCTTTTTCTTTATTATTTGTTTATTATGATGAATTCCTGGGATAAATAGTGGTGTGGTTGCCTGTTGCATTTCAATGATATTGAATTCAGAGTACCACTTCGTTCAAATCTTCTGCCAGCTATTTCTTGTTATTCTACTTTCTCCTGCTGTTTATTTCATAGCTTATAATCGGTAATGCAGGTTCATATGCTTCACCAGTTGCGATGTGAATACAGCAGACTAGCCCGCTTATATAATACCTTACTATTCAGACCAGTATGTTCATCTTAATTATTATAGTCTCAACATTTTAGCCGTTGCACCCACCGGCTTTCTTTCGTTGTCTGTCTTATCCAAAAACTCACTATTCCTACCAACATCTTCATCTTTTTATACTCACAATGTTTCAGGCGTTGTACTGTCTCACCTTCTTCAGATGTCTGTTTTATTATATTACTTAGATTTTTGGACAAGTATGTTCGTCTTGGTTACGATACATGCAACGTTTCGAAGCATTTTTCAGATGCCTGCCATTAAATTACCTCTAATTTGCGGACTAGTATTCTCAATTCAGTTATACAGATAATTTTTCAGTCGTTGTACCATCGGATTATCTTCCTATGATTCTCTATTATTAACATGATTTTTGGACTAGCATTCTCATCTTGGATACATATCTCACATTATTCCATTTCTTGTAACATCTGGTTACCAGAAAGAGCAATACAAATATATTAGAATCTATAACTATATTTTCTAGATTACAAGCAGGCTTCACACGTTCGCTATCGCTTCGCAAAGTAAGATATATTCACTACTTGAAATCTTTGAAAGAAAAATTATAAATAAACATTTCATTCATAAATTGGCTTTTTATAGTTAAGTAAAGTTTTATAAATATATGGCAACTTGTTGAAGGCCAAGTAAAATGCAAATCTCTGTCTTTGGGCAAAGTGCACTCAGGGGCAACTCTGTCAAAGAACAGAGTCACAACTAAGGAAAATTATACTGAGAAGGGCTCATCCCTGGAGAACAGTTGTCCGAGGCCGCGCCCTCTCATTGCACCATAGAGGGGCAATGAGAGGGCGCGGCCTAGGACAACTCGGGGGCTGCGGGTAATTTTTGTTCCTGGCCCGTTTGTACACGCTCAGGTCCCCAGCTTAAAAAATGACCTTGAGTCACAACTCGTCTTAGTGGGGAGACAGAGTAAATACCTAGTGTGTAAATTACTCCCTCTTAAGTAGTTTCTAACACCCTATTTATCATCTCTCAGTTGCGTCTCTGTCTTTGGGCAGAGTGCTCCCAGCGGCGACTCCAGCGGAGACTCCATCAAAGAAGAGAGTCATAACTAAGGAAAAGTATACTGAGAACTTCCAAGCCCTGTGGAACAGCTGCTCAAGGCTGTCCCCTCTCATTGCACCAGAGAGAGGGATCGTTGCTCCCACTGAAGCCAGCGAAAACAACGTTTGCAAGGGTTGAGGGAAATTTTTGTTCGTGGCCCGGGTTTACGCGCTCGGGTACCCATCTTATAAAAATACTTTCTGTCATAACTCATCTTAGTGTGGAGACAGAGTAAATACCTAGTGTGCTAATTACTATAAAGTAAAACTGTGGCTTTTCAATCGCAGAATTCGTGGGAGAATTGAGCTCCAATTTCGCATTTATTCATATAGATTCCATAATATACGTTTTACTTAATTAACTATTATGTTTCTCTGACTCTTCAAATGTTGAATGTATAACTAATTCTAATTTCTGTTTTACCATCTTACGCTATATTAATCTTATCTTATAAATTGTTTCCTGTTCTCTCACGCATGTAATAAAAATAATTGTTTGTAAGAAAAATAAGGATCTACGTACATCATATCATCTTTAAATTAAGTGGCAGCAGAGGAATTCTCGTTGAACTTTTAAAAGGTAAGCTTAAACATTAATTCAGTACTTAAATGCAGCGGTCAATTTTGAGTTCTGTAGTTTATTGATGCTCATTCCATCTACTGCCTAGCAATTGTGATGATGGCCAAACCAAGAGTCCACTGGATCTAGCCTAAAATTTTAAGCTTAAAATTTAAAGCTAGCTTAATTTGGGATACAAAAGGATGATAACAGTTACACTTCTTGAACCATGAAAGCAACGATAATAGATAGTATAATATATTAATATATATTTTTAACCTTGCATAATCTGGCAACCCTGAATCTGAGCTCAACGAAAATCGTTCCCTGCGCCTAACTTTTCTTCGGCTTTTGAATGAGATATGAACCATTGAAGTCGGACCAGTAGGAGCTGAGGAGTTGCTTGGACACACACGCACAAACACACACACATACATTGTATTTTATATATAAGGTGCAAACGCATTTGACAATATACGACACTAAAAGACACTGTTTGAACTGCTAGTAAAACTTGATTTGTTTAAGAAAGATATTAGAATAGCCTCAAACTTATACTGGAAGCAAACCACCTGTATAAGGGGAGAAATTCATTAAATATACAACAAATAGAAAGATGCGTGAAACAAGGACGTGTCTTCTCATCGGATTTATTCAATATTTACAGCAAAGGGATCCTAAGAGAACCAGAACTCCTAGCAGAATTTATTACGAGTGGACAGAATCTTATCAAAATTAAATGAGCCGGTGACACAGTGTAGACGCAGAATGTAAACTGCAGGAACAGCGATTTAAGATAGTAAAGAAAAGCAAGAGGAATGGAATAACTATGAATATTAAGAAGACAGAATGTTAACAAAGAAAGATGCATCGAACGTGCATTGGAATACAAAAAAAAAAAGAACATGGCTTCAAAAAAACAAAAAAACAAAAACAAAAAAAAAACAGGAAAATCCCACTAGAAACAAAGCAAAGAGAAAAGAGTGCTTAACTGCTATGTAAATATCCTTTCTTCTACATTTTATTGAATGCTGGGTGATCTCCTCAAAGATGAGGAAGAGATTTGACGGAACAGAGGTGTGGTTATACCGAATTAATCTGAGAATAGCACGAATCGAACATGTCACTAACAAGAAAAGTTTTAAGAACAAGAGAAGCAAATAGGACACTTATATTTAGAATCACAAAGAGGCAACTGAAATTTCTAAGACGCATAAGGAAGAAAGAGTGTTTGGAGAATTTGACAAGCATAGCATATAATGAAGGCAAAATTGACAGATGCAAACAACGAGTAACCTAAATAATTAGGTTGTATTAATGGATGAAAAACAGGTAGTTGAAAGGATAATGAAAAGATTAACTTAGTAAGCTAAAAAATAATAGGAAGTCGTGGAGTGCCATGGACAACAATATCATGACGCATAGAAAAAGCTTTTATGTGTTTCTTAAACAAATAATAAAGACTTCATATAATTCACGATCCGTCATAATTTACCGTATTTTTTTAAACCACTCTACATGTCTTACCTAAGAATTCTTGGTAATTCACACATATTCAGTTAAAGATACCTGGGTAGAGGCATGGTCGCCTATGTTCTAAAAAGACATGGTATTAGAAAAATTAATGTATCAAGTACCAGCCTAGTTTTATACCGTGATGAAGCAAAGATTATAGCTGGATGCAAATTACCACCTTGCAATGACCTGTGGTATTGAATGTCGGCATTCATAAGATGAACGGAAGGTTAATTTTAGGATAAGGTTGCTTTTACGCTCGAATTAATTACGATTTTAGGATAGAATTTTAGCATATGGGAAATGACATGAAAAGTTTGCAATGTAAATCAGTTGGGAATTGTTAAAGTAAAATAATCTGTTTACAATGAATAAAATCTTAAATTGCGTTTCAGTTTTGTCTAAGTATTTTCTTATACTCTCTATATTTTCTATATTAAAATCATAATTTCTGAAACAGTGGATCGTTTCAAAATAAGCTTAAAAATATGATTTTACATGCATACATGTTGGCTGTCGAACACAAACGAGTATGGCTAATGCTGACAAGTTTAAAACACGATTTTATTTCTCAGGAGATTGACAATTATTTTGAATGATTTTTGCAGACCTAGCAAAGTAAGATGTTTTGTTACGGACGTGGCTGGTTTTATAAATTCTGTTCAGGTTGATCGTGGGTTTTCAAGAGGCGTGTCTTTTCTACAAGTCTTCAGAGTTAAGTTGTTCCAAACGAGGCAGTCATCGTAATTTGTCGAAGCTCTTGTGGTTAACGAGGCCTGCATTGGAGAGCTATAATCTGTCACATTCATCACATGTAAATTGATGGATTGTTGAATCAATGCTTTCTCCTTTCCTAACTACACACCTGACATTTGCCCATATCAGTGGATGTTCTTGGAATACATTAGTGTTTTCCTGATTTGTAAGTCTCTATTATTTTGACCACAATTAGTAGTTTCCCATCTAGGTATTTCTTTATGGCATGCTGCCAGGGACGATTTTAAACAGTTATTGAAGCAGTTCCTTGTTTTATGCTGGGTCGAAATAGCGTAGAGTAACTCTATGTAGAATATTTATTTGAATAATTTGTTGTCTTTAAGACGAATGATAGCGCCTCCCTACCGAATTTTGTGCCGATGATTGTTCGCTTCGATTCCAATTGTATTAAATCTTTAAAAAAAAAACTGTGTCTGGAGCATAGAATATCCAATGTATACTAAGAATCGATCATAGACAGTCTCTAAAATAATGAAAGCAAAAGGAACCTATAAAAAAAAACAATTATGTTCTGCTATTACATTTTATTTTATAAATAGTAGTTTTCAGGAACAACACGAAAAGTACAAATTAACTCTTCTTTCAAATCTTATGTCCATTTTTTTTTTCTCTTACAAATTTTGAATCGGAAATATATTCGGAGCAGTAAATTTGTTGATGTCGTTTGTTTCTTTCAATTTATTTCCTGCCATGTCGACCGTTATAGGTTATT